TATGACTGTTGTAAACAGAACCGCATGTCGTAGAAGGATGTGGGTAAATACAAAGTCCTTGGAGTTAATAGAACGTCTTCATACTAACTGATTTAACGAATTCGGTGTTAGACACATCGAATGATGAATGTCACGGTACATCTATATACGACATGAAAACTCACGGATTCAGTGAGAACCATTCTCCAATAATTTGTTTACAGTACAGGAAATGGTCTATACATTAAATTCAACAATCGATAATACAGTCATAACGCTCTTCGTTTGAATTGATAACTTACTATGATATAAGCATATCACTGTAAGCAACTATATGATATTATATACAATCCGACAAACGTTACAGTGGCGTCAGCTTGGTGATAGATAGACGGCTCTTGCCCATTAACTAGTACGTCACCGACGCGTTATCGGAACGTTTTATCAGCTTAATCACACGGACAGAAGAAGTTGTTGTAGTCGCCATGGCAACACGCATCTTTGTCGTGTTTTGCTGGCGATTATGACATTAAATAGTTGGATACAGGTGAATCGATATAGCGCGTGTCATGAAAAACTACATTGGCAAGGACGATGTAAAGCTATATAACTGGAATGGAACGAATGTGGCGTAAAACCAGCATTTTTACATTAAACTTCTGGTATGTACGTCTACCTGGAAACTCTAAGCAATTACTGTGGATTTAGAGTACAAGTACTATTGTTGCTGTCAGTGGTTCTACACATGACGTACTTAAAGTAAACCTATGCTTGCCTAAATGATTACTGACGTTATAGCCAGTGGTTCATTCCGCCTGACTTAATTAATCAGGCGGTTTTACTATAAAATATTACCCGCATTCATCAATAATCGTTACAGTCAAATATTCTAATAAGACATGTTGCTGTACTATATTTTTTCGCTGTGTGTACCACCACTCCACCAAGATTGGTCACGTGCCTACATCCAGCATTTGCCATGCATAAATTAACGCGATGTACTTGCATCAATGAACCCGCGATCTTTGATATTTGTTTTAAGGACAGCAAATCTCCATATTAAAAAAAAAAAGATGTAACAGGATGTATTTAGTTCCGTTGCTAGGATATGCAATTACGTATGTTGAAGTGCTCGCATACATTAATGTGCTTTCTTTTTTATTCGAGAAGCTGCGAACTACTTTTCAGTGTGTTAACGCTTGTTCGACGTATAGGAATACCTAGAAGCAGTACTATCGATCGTACTTTGCGTGTGTTGCCAGAGATAACGGGTGGTATTTGGGAAAACAGTACAACTGATGTTTTTGAGAACTATGCGCGGTTGATAATATTCAATATTGATACCAGTACTTATATTACAGTTATCGAATTTTAATTATTGCAAGGATCACCTGCTTGCCAGCTAATTTGAAGTCAATGCAGTTACACTTGCACGAGAGTGATACATAATTAATAATGTATGTGGTCGTGGGAATTTACAAATCTTAGGTTGTCCCATGTGTTATCTTAAGTTATCGCTTAATCCAAATGCACACCAAGTCACCCAACTTGAAACGATCGCTGACGTCACTTATATCCGCCTGGAGTATTAATCATTTCGTTGATTCAGAAATAGAAGTCACAATATAAGATTAGATTATTCTCGAGGTACTAATACAATCACGAATCTTTGTATCCTTATTTTTAATAGGTGCCTAAATGCAAATGTTTATCCGATTCTCTGCGTGCATTTTACAACTAGTAATTGTGTTAAACAACTCCCCATGTAGTTTCTGCCGAAATAGTATTGACATATACGGATTTAAATTGGCGTTGTGGTCTTTTTAATCGACGGTGTTACTAGCAGTCCAGTCAAGTGTATGTCTAATTCTATAACGTAAGGTTTTAATCAATGTGATGTATACACATATGATGTCAACAGCACATTTGTTGGTTCATCCAAAACACTCGGGTTAAGCGCACCTCCGTCAGAATAGACGGAAGGGGTCCATTTATTATTCGTGTGTGACCACGTTTGTCTCAGTGTTTCACAGAGTGAATAATCGCACTTGTGGGTTTTCACCGAAAACAAAATTATTTACGGATACTAAGATGTTATAAATTTTATTATGTCTAACTTCATTGTGAGTGTTTGTAGAAAATGTGTTCCATATTTTACGTAAACTTTCAAAAGTAACGTGGATGCCTGAATCAACATGTTTCTGTACAAAACTGAAGCTGATATGTGCATACATCACGTCGATTGAGTGTATGTCTATTTACAGTTTGACTTGTTTGATGTGTTACTGTTGAAAACCGTCACGTTTACAAATATGAATACATTATCGTAGGTTTTGAATCTTATATCCCACCATGTCCCATCTATTCTGGATGTCGGTATGAGGTACGTGTTCTTACATACCAGCGGTATCCCATGCATTCTGTGTGTCTATATTTACTTATACTTACCCACTGACACACTGTGTCCAGTCTATGCTAGGTGTCGATATGTGGCACGTATTTTTCCATATCCTTTTGTGTCCCTTCTATTCTGGGTGTCGATATGTATTCGGTTGTCGCTTAAACAAATTAATATTTTGAGATCCTAAACCGTTGTGGAAGATGGTATGTTGTTAGCTGTGTTTTGTGTTCAAGGTTTTCATCAGAAATGATCAGACCGTTAACACACGTCCATTTGTGGTTTCGATACTTTATTATGACGCATTTTAGCAAATTTACACAGTTTTCAACAACGAACATTTCATTCAAAATTTACACATCCAAGTACAAATATATTATAACCATAATCTCGTCTTGACAGCGGTTGCATCAACATCACGTGTTTCTGCAGTACACGTATCACGTGATATACGAGATTTTACAATAGAGAATGTCCCAAAGCTCGGATATTCTTCGCGGAATCTACATGTAATCACACAGTAACGGTTTTTTTTTCTTTCTACTCCACCCAGATTTATGTGTACAAAATTGCTTCAAAATTATTATCTGCTACTGAGCAATAAATGTGTGAGTAAATAACAGAAAAACTGATTGTGTTGATGCGAGCAGATAACCGGGCGAATGGCTGTGTCTATGTGAGCACATAGCAGGGCGAATGGCTGTGTCTATGTGAGCACATAGCAGGGCGATTGACTGTGCCTATGTGAGCACATAGCAGGACGATTGACTGTGCCTATGCCACTGGCGGATCCAGCAAAATGTATTGGGGGGCCAAGCTTCGCTTAAGATATACGGAGCGAAAAT